GGTGTGGGAAAAAGTTCGTGGCGTTTTTCCCGCTAGATGGCATTAAATGCTCAGCAGTCGGCAACTACTAATCGCATCGACAACACTAGATGTGCGTTTAAAAAGTGACATTTTAACCTTTGTTTTGAACCGAAAAAAATTGAAATCGGTGAAGTGGATCAAAAATTATTTTATTTTGAAAATGGAAATAAATAAGGAAAAAATTCGCTACATTTTGCAGTATCACTACGATAAAGGCAAAAATGCTGCACAGGCTTGTGAAAAAATTTGCGCTATTTATGGTGAAGATACTCTATCAAAATCAGCAGCACGGAAATGGTTCGCTCGCTTTCGTGCTGGAAATTTCGATGTGAAGGATGAACCTCGCTCCGGTCGACCAATCACTGAAAAGTCCGATGAAATCATGGTAAAAGTCGAGCGTGATAAGCATGTGAGCACTGTGGAAATTGCCAGGGAAGTAGGCATCGACCACAAAACAGTTTTAAATCATTTACACAAAGCTGGATACAAAAAGAAGTTCGATGTTTGGGTTCCTCACGAGTTGAGTGTTAGGAACATGATGGACCGAATTAACATTTGTGATATGCTACTGAAACGGAATGAAATTAAGCCATTTCTGGAGAGAATGATAACTGGTGATGAAAAATGGATCACCTACGACAATCCAACCAGAAAAAGATCGTGGATAAAGAAAGGAGAGAAGGCGCAAGCAATCGCAAAACCTGGATTGACGAGGAAGAAGGTGATGTTGTGTGTGTGGTGGGACTGGAAGGGAATCGTTCACTATGAGCTGTTATCATCCAATCAAACAATTAATTCCGAACTCTACTGTGAACAACTGCAGAGATTACAACAAGCAATTGAGAGGAAGCGGCCAGAATTAATCAATAGGAGAGATGTCATCTTCCATCACAACAACGCTCAACCACACACATCTTTGATGACTCGGCAAAAATTGCGAGAGCTTGGCTGGGAAGTTTTAATACATCCACCGTATAGTCCTGACATAACACCTTCAGACTATCATTTGTTTAGGTCTCTGCAGAACTCTCTTAATAGTGTAAAGCTAGCTTCAAAAGAGGCCTGTGAAAATCACTTGAAGCAGTTTTTCGATCAGAAACCACAG